GGCACCTGTGCCCTATAAAAGAGGTAACCCATCTTGCTAGAGTAAATTAGTAGGCTGTACTTGTTTTTCTTAAACTTTCTAAGTTCTAAGGGAACTAGGCTAAGCTTGGTTTCCCTAAGCTTTTCTTAGTTTTATTAGGTTTTAATTTTAAGGTTAAGTTAGTTAAGTAAACTCTAAGTTAGCTTTGGTAGCTCTTAGCTCTAGCTTCTTCTAAGCTTTGCACCTCTCACTCAAAAATTAAGGAACCTAAATCACCAAAGGCGAGGCCGGTCCTGTCTCTCTCACCACCGGGTTATCAAGGAAGGGTGTGAGTATATTAACCAAAGCTTTGTAGCATATAATGCCATAATATCATATGTATCTTTTAAATAGCAGCAATACAATTGTAACTTTGTAATGCTAATTATTTTACCATTTAATTACTACTTCATTTATCTTAATTAAAAGTCTTTAACGCTATATCTGTCTCAGTATAAGCTTCCTGTCATACCCCCGAGGGTCCTTTGTAAATTCTGTGAAGCCTAATTCGGAACAAAAAACTCATCTTCCAATCAAACAAATTGGCAAGCCCCCCATACTATCCAAATTAATACGATTAACATCCTAAATCAGGCAACAGTTTACAGTTTGCTTTATTGCAGTAATGCATCTCTTTGACATTGAAACTCCCTGTCCCAAAGTAGTAAGTTATTTATATTTTAAATTTAAATTGTTTCAAAACTGATTTGCAACTACTTGTTAATTTACAGACATACCTGCAGTAAAAGCTAAAAAGATCCATTACTCTTGGCATTCTTGACATACTAGTACCTCCCCTAGCAATGTTCATTTCACATTTTAAATGGAAAAAAACAACAACAGTGCTTTGGAGTGTAAGCAGTACATGTTAATTAGGCTAAGAGCCTGTTGATCAGAGAGATTAAACTTCAGTGAACAGGAGTATCTGTTTTAAAGCCACTACAGATGGCAAAGGATAATAGATTAAACAAATATCTTTCTGAGTATATGACCATGAAGTCACTCGCCAAGACTACTTTAATTCAGTAGAAAATCACAGAAATAGTACCAGATTTTAATCAGACTGATCTTGAAAGTCAGTCTTGCCTGTTAAAGTGATGAGATTTTGTCAGTGACTTATTTTTAAAGAAATCTGTAAGATTTCACATAGAACAACTTATCTATTGCCACCAAAACACTTTTAGTGGATGCAAAAAATTAGTCAAGTTTTTAAAATTCAGGTACATGATTTCCAGAACCTGTTTTAGTTTCCATTGGGATCCAATGACATCTGATTTGAAAGCTAAAGACACTACGTCACCAACAAACGTGTTGTGATACACAACCGATTCTGAGCAAAGAACAGTTACTTATCCTCGAGTAAATGTGTTTATTCAAAATGTTATAGTCAATGTGGATCCCAATGTAGATGTGCATGTGCCTTATGCGCATGAGATTGGCATCTTTTGAAAAGCAGTCTCCTCAGGACCACACATTTACCCCGTCTCCTCATACGCCTGTAAGAGGGTATAATGGGGAAGCTGCAACACTTACAGGGACCACCCAGGAGTAGTTTGGCAAGCGGTGTCACAGATATACACATTGACCTGTAGCCTAGTAGACGGAGGCAAGTATTCAACATCATAGTCAGACTTGACTTTAGGTCATTTTTTAGTGGCTGGAGAGACTGGAACTTGTCCTCTGGGAGGTAGGCTTTCACTGACAGAGTTGATCATGGTCCCTCTGAACTCTTATTTGTGATGGGGTGAGAATTTTTCACAGCACACAAGGAGACCTAGCTGGTGAAGAAGGAGAGGACATACTCTAGGGCTGTCTGTCTCCTGCTGGGACCTGCCTCAGATCAACCAATCATCTAGGTATGGGTAAACGCTGCTACCACTGCTAGGCCTTTTGTGAAAACGCTTGCTGATGTGGAGAATCTGAATGGCTTGCATCCTGTACTGGTCATGACTACCTCAGGTACTGTGAATCTCAGGTACTTCCTGCGGCTAGATGGATGGTTATATGGAAGTACGCATCCTGGAAGTCAAGAGCCATGAAACCGTCCTGAGCTTGAAGTGATAGAATAATGGGAGGGAAGGGGTACCATCCTGAACCTGAGAAGTTGTATGTAGTTTGCTGAGTTTGCTCAGGTCTAGAATAAGATGAAGACATAAGGAAATCAGGAAGTAGAAGCCTCTTTCCTTGTATTCAATTGACACCCCTTTTATGGCTCCTAGATGAAGCAACGAAGCTTCAGACAGATTACTTCAGACAACGGGGCAACGCTTTTGTTTCTACTCATGTCTTTGCCAAGCATCAACTATTGTTATCTTTCACTAGTGCTAATCAGGAGTTGGATAGTAGTTAATCTGACAAGAACTGCAACATTTACTTTGATAGTTGGGGAAGTGAAAAAGCTAACCAGAGCTGAGCATATATTTTTTGGACAAAACTTCTTTCACCAAAATATGCAGATTTGGGTCAACTGAAACATTTTGGGAATCTGTGTTTATTTTGGTGAATTGTTTCAGATGAAACAATTTTTTTTTTTTTTTGGAGATGTCAAAATGAATCTTTTTTAAGCTAGACTCACAAGGGGATGTAGGCATCGGTCACAAAACTACTGGTAGTAGTAGCAGCACCACTGCCCCCCTTTTAACCTTTAGCCCACGCACCTGCAATGTTGAAGATTCAGGCTCGAATTTCTGCTTAGGAGCAGGCACTTGAATCCAAATCTCCCCTGACACTACCACCACCATCACACACATAGATTAACCTAATCCCCACCCACCCACATTTTTGAGTACCCTACTCACCAGGCTATAAGAGATTCTGGAAGGGTCTTTCTAGACCTCCTGTTGAAGCTGTTCCACTCTGTATAAATAAATATTCTTTGGCACAGGAACTGGAACCCAGGTGTTCCCCCTCCCACATAAGTGACCTAACCACCAGACTATAGAATCACACACACACACTCTCTCTCTGCTCCTATCACTATTGAAGTATTTTATGCAAAGTGGAACTGCTTCAACAGGAAAGATCGAGAGACTCACCCCAGAATAACCAATAGCCTGGAAGTCAAGGTGCTCATCTGGGAGAGGGAGACTTGGGTTCAAATCCCTGCTCCGGAGCAGGGATTCCAATCTCCCCCAACATCCTTGGTGAGTGCCCTATCCACTGGGCTATGGGTTATAAGGGGGGCACCACTGCTACCACTGTTTTTGAATCTAGGCCATCATTTTTTTTTTGCTTTAAAAAAAAAAAAAAAAAAAACCCACACCTTTTTAAAATGCCCCAAAACAAAATGTTTCATTCAACCTATGTGAAATTTTTTCGATCCACCCAAAAATTTAAAAAAAAAAATCCGTTTCCATTGACACTGAACTATTTTTTATTTTATTTTATTTTTCAGAACTCCCAGAGAATGAAAAATAAAATCAGTTATTTTCCCAGCTCTAAAAACAGATGACGAATGTACAGGAGCTATTCAGAGGGAAGGAAGTCTTAAAAAGCCTAGGGGTGGGGTACAGTAGCCACATGGCAATGAAAATGCAGAGGGTTGGGGAAATGCTCCTTTTTCAGCGGCTAGAACTGAGGGGAAGGTGAAAAGTTTTCAGCAGACTCAGGCTATAAGAAAATCTAACCCCTTACACAGAGCTCGGCAACAGCAGGTTGGTAGAAACCACCAGTTGGGGGAAGTCACTGGGCTGCACACCAGTGTCCTCATTTTTTGTACTGACTTCGGGAAGTAGCCATATATCATAAATTCTGACCCAAAACAAACACTACAAAGTTAGTGATCTCATTCAATATAGTGGGAAATTACAGGGATAGCTCAAAAGATGTGTCAATTTCATTAATGAACCACGACTTCAAATTTTTTTTCAAAACAAATGTCACAAAGCAAGTTTTAATATAGTACTTTTGCAAATTTTTAATGTACTGACATATGAAAACAGCAATTTGGGTTCTCTGGAAATAGATTTTTCAAGTTTACCATAAAAATGAAAACTACACTGTTCTTTCACCTTCATGTTACAAGTTGTTTTAAGATTCCTGAGCTTCAGTTTTAGAAGCAAAATGTTATAAAAAATTATTTAACTAGATAAATTGCATCCTTGAATCTGAACATTGCAAGTAAAATATAATTTAGCAAGAAGGCCCCTTTTCAAAAAACAACATATCTGTATGTACTTGAAACATAAATTTAACTGTTTCCATACCATTTTAAATAATTAGAAACAGCCAAAACATTTTAAAGACATGACAGAGCAGCTTTCTGGCCATTTTTGAATATTTCCTGGTGTTCTAAAAGCACAACAGTGCACCTATTCTGAAATAGAAAAGAATTCTGAAATATATAAGTGGCATTAGATGCCATGATCATTTGGGCCCTGTGGTTTTCCACAAAGTAAATACACCTCAAAGAACAATGGAGGCATTGCAGCACAGTTTAAAAGATATTCTGTAAATATTATGGTCACTTCCAAATTTCATACAAAAATACTGCCCCCTGGCTCAATTAGCAAAAATTCTGCTTTGCTACATGTTTTTTCATTGAGTGCATAAGGAAAGGTTTGTAGTCAAATATTTTGTACACAATAACTTGCCAAGACTGGAATCCTGATAACTGACACCTATATCTCTCTTAATTCAGAGGATGTTATGATTGCAGACATTAGAAACTAAGTGATCTAATCAAAAGATTCAGAAAATGGAAACTAATGAAAACCAAGTTAGGTTGGTTATCAGCACTGTAGAAACTCAAGCACGTATGGTTATATCTACAGCACTGTCGTAATGTAAAAAAGGAGACAAAACAGATCATAAAGAAACATTAAAATCTAGTTATCCGTATCTTGGGTCCATGAACTAGATTCAAGTTAGATAATTCACCAAACAGCAACTTCATTTTTTCCCCACAGTAGATGAGATCTACTTCAGAACTTTCTGGCCCTGATCTGTCCTGTAATAGCCTTTTTTGAAGGCAAATTCCTTTATTACCTACTCCAAGGACTTCTTTGCTTATTTAATGATCTCTTTCGGTGCTTTCGTTTCTTGCCCAAGCTTTTGTGACCATGACTTCTCTCTTTCTTATCTTGTCTACTCTCACTACTCAAGGCCCTCTTATGCTGGGTGCGATCTGGGCTTAAGCTTCTTCGGTGAGGGCTGCGACTTTTGCTAGGGTATTTATGGAGTCTTCTTTCTTTCCTATACTTTTCATCTTGACTACTCAAGTCTCTTCTGTGTTTGCTCCTTTCCTTTTTATCTTTGCTATTATCAATACTTGTGTCACTACATGAATGGCTCCTCCCCTTACTTGGCTCTCTGTTACACTTGCCTTGCTCAGAGGATAAGTCCTTCCTGCACGCATTCTGGTCACAGCTTGGCGTACTCTTGTGTTGCTGGTTATTGGCAGGAATACAAGAAAGCACACCTGAACTCCTTTTATCAGAAGAACTTTCAGTGCTATTGAAATTAAGTGTCTTGCTTTCCTTAACATTAGCTTCCTTGTGAAGGTTTCCATTTAAATACTTGGATTGAGAGTTCACACTTTCATTGGATATTACTTCCCTCTGATAGACCTGATTTGGTTTACCCATAATGGACTGTACCGAGGTAGATGTTATACAGCTGGATGACACAATCTGTGGACCAGCCACAATAGTTTTCAACAGGCCAGACTGAGATGCCTTAGTTTCCTCCTTACTCTGATGTGTGTCATCTGTTTTCTTGCTCAGGAGATTGCTTAATAGCTTCTCCCTTAGCTCCTTCTCTTTTCTTTGCAGTCCAAGTGCTCTCTCTTTTTCCTCCTCTACACGTCTGAGTTCAGCCTCTTGCAGCCTTCGTCTCTCCTCCAACTCCTGAAGACGGACTCTTTCTTCATTATGTTCCTGCTCCAGAAGCTTTACTGCCTGAAAGACATTGAGAGGGAGGGAGAAAATGGATGAGAAAGAAAGTTTATAGATGTGCTTATATCTCCCAAAAATCTCTCTGTTAAAGAAATCAGAATTTTTCATATACAAGGGAAGCCTGTAAAAAAGAAAATCATTTCAAAAAAATAATTTACATAACTCTGTGCACTAAGGCTATTGTTCAACAAATAATGCTGAAATGAAAAAGCAGCCAGCTCAGTTTAAGTCACTGGTAATGGGAGTTGGTACGTTTCGTCTCCAAGTTACTCGTCAGAACCCAATAGGAGCAAAAATCATTACTATCCAACAACTATTCAGGAATCTATATCAAATGAGTTGAGCTCAGTCCAGTTCCCAGTGGACAGGTGTCAACGTTACAGTAACCAGCATTAGGATTAGTGTTTTTGTTGGCAGTCACAAAACTCAAGGATTGAATGGGTTTAAGATACTTCAGGTAGGTTAAAAAAAATTGAAGTTTTTATTCTGTTAAGTATGTAAAATGTCTAATACAATCAGCAAAATATTGTGTTATTTAAATATTACATTTACCTTGCTTTGCCGCTAAACAAAAGAGGCTTAGTTCAGTCCTTTGCAAGTTTTACACTAGGCGTGAAGGGAAAGACAAGCTATCCACAGAAAATGGTGCAATAATTGATATTCTCAGGTATTGCTTCAGTGCACAACACAGTAGTATCTAAACAACTTTTTATACCACAATGATGAACATACTATAAGAATCTAGATTTTTTTTTTTTTTAAAGGAAAATCTTATAAAAATTCTCTAAGCATTATTTTACTTGGAGTGAGAGTATTTAATTAGACTCTACTCAATGGGGATCAAGAACTCAGGAATTACTAGGCTGATGTACATATGACCATGTGATGGATAGAAAGGCATGCTGTGTTAAAATGTTATCACTACATTTATGCTAATATACAGATTAAAACACCCCGATGCACGATGGCAGCAAGAGACAAAGCTGTGCATTGCCACGGACGGTTGCATTACTGCTTACTTAAAACAGTTACTAAACATTAGCCATTAATCCAAAATACCTGCGATTACGACTTTTTCAAGAAACTAGAAAACATTGTGTCCTGTTTAGGGAACATATGGAAACAATGTTGACGACTGTAGACTCAGACATGATTTCACACGTCACCATCACTGTCAGTGGATAACAGATATTTGTATTTTTGTAATATTGTTACACCTGCTTTTTCAAAAGTACTTTTCAAACATTAGCAAAAGAAACCACAATAATCCCCACTTAATAAATGGGAAAGAGAGCAGTTAAGTGAACTGCTCAAGGCCACAAGTGATGCAGTGGCAAGCCAAAATTCAAACTTGGAATCCTCTGTCTTAGTCCCTTGCTCAGTTCTCTATGCCATGTTTTCCGCACATTTCTTTCTTGGATCTCAAAGTAGTGGGCAGGCCTCTTTTCTCAACTCATGCATAATGTTATTCAGGTCAATAATTTCAGGCTCTCTTTACTCCACTCCTGCCTTCCTAGGGAACAGATGCCTAGGCAAACATCCTATGGCTTCAAGACAGGCTCTTATGAGTTCACAATCCATACTATTCAGAGGGCTGACTGTTGGCACATGTAACAGCTAAGTGGTCTGGCTTATGAACACATAAGTCACTTAAAATTTTGCTCTACCAGTTTTCATTTTTGTTAGCTTTTGAAAGAATAGGAAAAAGACAGCTTGCCAAAGTTACCTTTGCTCTGCTAAGCAGTTCTGCAATTAGTCTAATGGACTGAAGATTTCTCTGCGCTAACAGGAGTTTCCTCTCTTCTAGTCTTATTTTCTCTTGCAGTTTTTTCTGCTCTTCTGCTTGCATTTTTTCAAGTTTCTTTTTGTTTCTACGAACTTCACGATCCTTCTGTTTTTGTTCTCTTTTGCGTAACTTCTCTTCTCTTTTTCTCTCTCTCTCAAGTTCTTCAAGTTCTTTCTGTTTCCTAAGAGCAATTAATTTGTACATTAGCCATGATAGGAACAACTTTGGATTTTGACTTGTATTACAATTTAAGTAAAAAATATAGGATTTTGTTATTTTTTTCAAGAAAGACAGGTCTTATTGATTGCTGACATAGACAGAAGCAGGAAACATCACATATGCATTCAGTGAACATCTTTAAACATTTCCCTTCCCACACAAAACTAAACTGACATCAGAAGGACTGTTCTAGGGATAAGCAAAAATTTAAATATGAGATGTTTTAGGAATCAACACAAGTAAGATCATAGAGCATTTTACTGATCAAATTAGAAATACAGTTATTCTGAGTCGGTTGGCTGGGCAATCCATCCTTCAGAAGAAAAACGTTGAGCAGATATCAATTTAAAAATGTGCAGATAGTAGCAAAGGCCAAGATTTTCAAGAGAATACGTGCCTAAACAGTGGCATGATTTTCAGAAATACTGAACAGGCAGCAGCTTCCACTGAAGAATTCCACTTTAACCACACAAAAGTAAATGGATCTAGACAACCTAGCTTCCTTACTCAGGAAAAATTTCTGTTCAAGTCAATAGTTTTGCTTCATTAAGGAGTGAAGAACAGTGCTCTTGGAGAGTTATCTATCATCTAAATGATAAAAGAAGATCACTGATGCACGGGCTCCAGTTTCCTTAACATACAATTACTGAAATGATTTGCTATCCTCAGATTTATGTTCCATATATACCTGGCATCCCTGAGATATTGTATGTATACACATACTTTTTTCCTAGTAATACATTCTAAAACTTATAGCCCATCCCTGAAAAAAACCTATCTTTGTTAAAGCAGAACCATTTCAATAAAATGATTTACTTGTACAATTAGCACATGGTCTTCCAATTTTCTATCTAGAAAACTGATTTTAAAAACTTCATGATCCAAGCTAAACCAAATCATTGTAGTTTAAACATTTCAACTATCCAGTTCTAGGAAGCACATTTCCACCAAAATATCAAACTAGCTCACTTTATTTTGTGTCGCTCACTGCCTGAACCCGCCTTCCTCAGAACTAATGCATAGTTATCATTCTGGTCAGCTGTCTTCTAGGAACAACAACAGCACAACAACTGGGGCTTAGAGGAATGACTGCGTCTAGCACTGACATGTAAAATCCACTACAATTGAAAATCTTGTTGGTGGCCTCAGAAGCACTAAGGACTGGATTGGGCATGGAAACTGAACTACTCTCACCCCTAGAGGTGGTCCCTCCAGGTCAGAGTTGAGGCACCTTGGTGGGACGATGTGGGGAAGCTTGCCCAGGCTGTACTTTTCTGTGGATAGAAGACTTAAGTCCTCACTGCTGTCAATCCGGAACAAGCAGCACTAACCTCACTTAAAAAAAAAACAAAAAAAAAAACATTGTATCAAACTATATACAACAGTCATGATATTTTGTCATTTAGAGCCAACAAGTTTCTGTGAGATCTGTGTCATCAGAACTGTTAGTTTGCTTTCTAATACTGTCAGTAGTTGGGAAACATTGAAGTCTGAACTAGCTGGGCACTAGAGTAACGAAAACCACAGCTTCTATCATCTTGTTTGTAAGGAATCTCAAAGCAAGGGAAAATAAGCAGATTGAACATGCAACACAAATCAAGAAAGTCATTTCCACTCTATGTAAGACTGCAGTAATACAGTTCATAAGCAAAACGGAAATTCACAAAATAAATCTAACAAATTAGCTAGTTCTTGTAATAAACACTGGACAGAAATTAAGTTAGCTGAATTTAAAGTGAAGGGATGCTCTAATGGGATCAACCATGCAAAGCAAAAATCAAACATAACACATTACCTTATCACTGTTAATTGCCCATGTAGTACTTTTGATGTGAATGAGGATTTTCAAAGGTGAAGATGTTTACCCACTATCTTTAATAGTAAAAGCTTATATGTCTGTTACCAGCATTGGTATACCTTTTACCAAAATCATCCATTTTAGTTTAAAACACTTTTTAAAATAGTCCAGAAACAATAATTTTGTGCAGAATTATAAGAAATTATAGGTATTATAATAAATTTACCAAACTTTCAACTTCAGTGATGGTCATCTCAGCTCCAGATTACATTGCACAGGATCAAAAATTAAAATCTGCAAGTAGAGTAAGGATCTGCCATAGTTTCTACCAGTTGAAGATAATTTATAGGGAAACTGGTCTTAAAACAAAAGATTTGCAAAACATAACTAACTCTTGAAACAACTGAAAAACTCTGCCTTTTATTACTAAGGTATTTCAAAATTAGAAGAGCATTAAGAATTTGGAATCTGATTTGCTCGCACCACTAATGTAAGTGATCAAAACATGTTTAATAGTAGAGAGTTGCATGATAAAAAAAATAAATATATATATATATATATATATAGAGAGAGAGAGAGAGAGAGAGAGAGAGAGACCTATCTCATAGAACTGGAAGGGACCCCAAAGGGTCATCAAGTCCAGCCCCCTGCCTTCACTAGCAGGACCAAGTACTGGCCCCCTCAAAGATTGAACTCATAACCCTGGGTTTAGCAGGCCAATGCTCAAACCACTGAGCTATCCCTCCCCCCAAAGGGAATTTTAATATTATGTTTGGAGAATTCTGTGAAAAATAAGATTCTGATTTAGAAGACTGAATAGTTAAAGCTAACAATATATTTTGAGTCAATTAATAACAGACTTAAAGACCATTTAATATCTTCACTGAACTAGTTAAAACACTTTGTAACTGATTGCGTATGTCAGTTTTAACATAAGATTGGATTTTTGTTTCTATATGTGGAAAGAACTTGCCCATAAAATTAACTTTTTCTGGGTTAGAAATATGATTGCTAGTGCATGAGGGGAAAAAAAAAAGTACAGTAAAACCTCAGAGTTACGAACACCGTGAAAAATGGAGGTTGTTCGTAACTGAACAAAACGTTATGGTTCTTTCAAAAGTTTACAACTGCACATTGACTTAATACAGCTTTGAAACTTTATTATGCACAAGAAAAATGCTGCTTTCCCTTTATTTCTGTAGTAGTTTACATTTAATACAGTATTGTACTGTATTTGCCTTTTTGGGGGAGGCAGGTGGGGGGGGAGGAGAGGGGGAACTGCTGCTGCCTGATTGTGTACTTCTGGTTCCAAATGAGATGTGTGTTTGATTGGTCAGTTCGTAACTCTGGAGTTTGTAACTCTGAAGTTCTACTGTATATGAAAGTGAAGTTATAATATGGTCAAATTAAACATTGCTAATTTTGAATGGAATGAAGAAATGTGGGGACCCAAAGTTTTAGCCCTCCAAGAGACTGAGATTTAGTCAAATTGCTCATTCATTCCTAATGTGAGGGAGATAAGGGGAAGGAAATGCAGTTTTCTTGTATTTTATCATCGTTATTAAAATTAAAAAATGTAGATATAAGTTAGATCTACCTTTCCTCCTCCTTTTTTTTCTCTTCTGCTTCTTTCTCTCTGCGTTTTTGTTCCTCTCTTTGTTGTTCAAGCTCTTGAAGTTTTTGTCGTTCAAGCTGCCGTTTCTTAATTGATGCATCACTCAGGTGTTTTGTTGAGTCAAAGGAAACCTTTACAGAGCACAGTTAAGAAACAATGAGTTTAAGAGGTCAAAAAACAATTCTAATCTAGTGCATTTAAGTGTCAGCTTTGCATTCACTTCATCCCGACTTTTGGATTTTTTTATGCTTGTTCTTGCAAGTCTTGTCATGTGAGAAAAAGTAAAATTATTTTACTCATGAGTCTGGGGATTTATCCAGTAACAAGTATATAAACAATTTAACGTGTAGCTCCAACACATTCAAACTTTTCCCCTGAACCTTAAAGGATACTTTCTGAACTGCACAGTGTTGACTGACTTCCTTTTCATGACAATGCCCACACTGTACTCAATTAACAAATCGTAAGTGCATGACTTAAAACATGTCAAAGCAAATCTTACTAAGCCAAATTAAAAAAAGAAAACTAAATAATATTTTCTTGTGCGCCGCGAATTTAGATTCTGTCTGAAATTGAACTTATTCATGTTTTTCTATTCAAAAGTAGTACTGGTATTTGTGATTTGAAAAAGTGAATCCTAGAGAGCTTAACCTAAAATAATAAATTTTAGGTACCCCTACGTGATTTTCAATTTTAAATACTCTTATGAACATAAATCCCCAATAACTGCAAAGTAGGGGAATATTATACTTCATTATATAGCCATCAGATTAATGCTTAAAACACTGGCCCTTGTCTCTATAGACATCATACACCCATGATACATCTGTTATCTGATATTGTGGCCTATCAAATTTGTTATAATAGACTTGTTATTCTAACTGAGGAGCAGTGGCTGCAAAAACTTAAGCCTTTTATCATGACAGAAGCAGTGAGATATGTATGCCAGATTTTCAGGTATTATGGAAATGTATTTTTATTAAATTTTCAAGTACAGTTTAAAAATGGGTTGAGATCACACAATGCAACAAATTTATCATAAATTTTGGTTATATCTGCACTTCAAATACAATTCAGATGTCTGCTCAGTTGTATAAATTGAATTTATTTTCATTCTACAGGTGTTTGCTGATTTTTTTATTTTATTTTAATGTTGTATCGTTACCCCTCTTTAAAAAAGGAACTCTCTCTTAAAAGTTTAATTTTGTTTAGTTTTCTTATGAATGTGTTGAACAAATATATAGTCTAGGTTCAGCATGGGACTTATATTCGTAAATATATACACACACACACAAATACACTGGCGGTGTGGTCTTAAAAAGTTTTATCAGTAAATCTGAGATATACAGGCAGCACAGACACAAAGAAATTAGATGATCAGAGCTAATCTGGAGAAGAGAAAGGTGTTCTGTCTTGTGATGGGGTATGCTCCCCACACTCATGTTGAATAGGTTAACGTAGGCCAGAGGGGACAATTAACCTATTAGGCTGCAAGATGGGGGAATTAAGGCTGAGCGGAAACTCAGTTGTGGAGGAACAGGCAGAGCATTTATAATGCCAGGGAGTTGATAGCAGAAAGGGGCTGCAGGGAAATTGTCTGTAGTCACTCCCTGGGACAAGGGAGGTGTGTTTGGGACTACAGAAATTAGTTTGCAGTTACTCAGTGAAGAAGGGAGAGTGTGCTAGCAAATCCAGAGATGGGGGAGCTGTTAGGATATAAATATTCAGGTCGGTCTGTAAAGGCCTATACTTTAAAAATTTAAGTGTATTCTTATCACTTAGCTAGTTATAGAGGTATAAAAGAAAGAATCAAAATCACTCTCTGTATGTGTAAGGGACAGTCTGAGGCTCTGTTCTTAGGCTAAGTAAGGCCTTTGCTAAGCAGCAGAGGCAGCCATAAGCTGAGAAGTGAACGGTCACATCCTCACATTCCAAACTAGTCACATGGAAATAAGGTGCTATTGGGCTGTTAGAAATACAATTCTGTCCTGATATTCCTATCACCTCCAGAGAAAGAAAAGAGCCTAGAACATGTAAAAGGAAATTTAGTTTAATAGTTTTCTGTCTGGTAAAAACTTACTTATCAATAAACACAGCTGGAAAACCCTTATGTCTGTGTAAATGTAGTTGTAAAATCCTCACTTCTGTATTGTTTTGTATGTTTAGTTGCATGGTCTCTGTCTGGTTCTGTAATTGTTTCTGTCTGCTGTATAATTAATTTTGCTGGGTGTAAACTAATTAAGGTGGTAAAATATAATTGGTTAAATAACCATGTTACAGTATGTTAGAATTGGTTAGTTAAATTTCAGTAAAATAATTGGTTACAGTATAGCTAAGCAAAACTCAAGTTTTACTATATAGTCTGCAGTCAATCAGGAAGTAAGGGAGGAATGGGAGCAGGGAATGGGAACAGGGATGGCTCTATGGTGTCAAAGCTGGGAAGGGAAACAAACACTAAAATCATGCTTGCTAAAAGTTCACCCCAATAAACATCAAATTGTTTGCGCCTTTGAACTTTGGGTATTGTTGCTCTCTGTTCATGCAAAAAGAACCAGGAAAGTAAAAGGGTAAAAAAATAAGCCCCCTAGCAGGAGCCAGGATTAGGAAAGGTTCAGGGAAAAAGCAGAAAGGTTCAGGATGATGCAGACTTTGGCTGCTGATTAGAGGATCCCTCAGCTGGAACCCAGAGTAGAGGGTGGACCTGGGTTCCCCTACCAGCCACATGGAAGTGGCACCATAGGGGCAGTGAAAAACAAGACTGCCTAAAACTGCTGGTAAGGAAAGTGATATTCCAGAGGGGAAAACATGCATAGTGATCTGGCCAGAGACCCACGTCACAAAAAGGGAGCACCCTGGGTTGCACAGAGTGAGAGAGAGCAAAAGAATGGCAGCAGGGCAGGCAGCGAGCAGCAGAAGGGAGCCTCAGACCTGGAAAGAGCTAATCCACACAGCAGCCAGAAAGAGGCACCATATGTGGTGAGTTGACCCCAGCACACATCTGCTGGGTGCTAAGATACGGGATGTGGACCTTAGGCTAAAAGGGATCATAATGGGAGCAGGAAAGAATCCACTCATTGTCCTTCACATGGGAACAAATTATAATGCTAGATTCTCACTGGAATGCATCAAAGGAGACTATGATAGGCTGGGGGAGACTATGATAGACTTAAAGAAATGGAGGCTGAGGTGATCTTCAGTAGGATTCTGCCTGTCCCTAGAAGAGGAGAACGAAGGCGAGACAAGATTATGATGATCAACAGATGGCTCAGGCCGTGCTATAAGGAGGGCTTTGGAATGTTGAACCACTGGGAGTCATTCACGGACAGAGGACTGTTCTCATGGAATGCCCTCTACTTGAGTAGGCAAGGAAATAGATTTCTGGGGTGGAGGCTGGCACAACTGATTAAAAGATTTAAACTAGGAATCTGGGGATATAGTTGGGAGATGCTCATGTAATATCCATGCCTAATACTAATATTGAGCAGGAGGAAAATCAAGGAAGAGGATACAGCAATGAAGAGAGAGTAGAACGGACATCAAGAGAAAAGATAATGCCAATACCAATGACGATAGTATCGCCTATCTATCTGCTGACAGTAGAATGACTGTACCCAATCGGGTGAGGAATCTGGGTGTAGACAAGCAGAAACAACTTAAGATGTTTGTACACCAATGCAAGGAGCCTGGGTAACAAAATGGAGGTATTAGAATTAATGGTGCAGGAAGTGAAACCAGATATTATAGGGATAATAGAAACATGGTAGAATTGTAGTCATGACTGGAGTACAGGGATTGAAGGGAATGTGCTGTTTAGGAAAGACAGAAATAAAGATAACGGTGGTGAAGTAGCATTGTATACTACTTATGAGTAGACTGTAAAGAAATTAGAAATGATGGAATGGATAAAACAAGAGTCCATTTGAGCCAAAACCACTTTGGGGAAGAAAGTGACCAGATGGTTCCCGGGGACAGCACTTGGGGTATGCTACACACCCCCAGGATCCAATTTGGATATGAATAGAGACCTCCTTAATATTTTTAATGAAATGAATACAACTGGGAATTGTGTGATTATGGGAGACTAATTTCCCAGATATATATTGGAGGACAAATGCTACTAATAATGGTAGAGCCCACGTTTTCCTGGATGTGATAGCTTACAGATTTCTTCACCAAATAGTCACCAAACCAACAAGAGGTAATTCCATTTTAGATTTGCTAATGGTGAATAGTGAAAAGAACCAGTTGCAGGGGACAACCTTGGTTTGAGTGATCATGAGCTAATTCAGTTTAAACTAAACGGAAGGATAAAACAAATAGGTCTGCAACTAAGGTCCTTCATTTCAAAAGGGCAAACTTAAAAAAATGAAGGGAAGTTAGGGAAGTGGACTAGGCTGAAGAACTCAAGGATCTGAATGTGGAGGAGGCTTGGAAAAGTTGCAGAAGCTATCTGAAGCCAGCATCACAAGCCGGGGGGGAAAATTGCAGTGAAGGGCGGCAGACCAAACAGGATGAACAAGCATCTCAAACAGGTTATTAAGAAAAAGCTGAACGCCTACAAGGAATAGAAGATGGGCTGGATCAGGAAGGAAAGCTAAGTATTGGAGATCAGAAAGTATAGGGGGAAAGTGAGAACTGCCAAAATCCAAGCAGAGTTGGACACTGCAAAGGAAATTAAAACTAGTAGTAAAAGGTTCTATAGTCATATAAATAAGAAAACAAGGAAAAAAGAATTGGGACCACTAAACACGGAGGATTTTGGGGGGATTAAAGGTAATATAGGCATGGCCCAACACCTAAATGAATACTTTGTCTCAGTTTTTAAATAAGTGTAATGAAGAGTTTAGGGGTAGTGGTGGGGTGGCTAATGGAAATGAGGATATGGAATTAGAAATTAATGAAGCCAAGCTCAAACAGTTTAATGGGACCAAATGGAGGGGCCTGGATAGTCTCCATCCAAGAATATTGAAGGAACTGGCACATGAAATTGAAAGCCCAATGGCAGGGATTTTTAATGAAGACATACACTCAGGGTTCATATCCTATGCCTGGAGAATTGTAATATAGTACCTATTTTTAAGAAAGAGAAAAAAAAAAAGTGAGGAAGGAAATTACAGGCCAGGTAGTTTGATCTCAATTATATGCAAGGTGTTAGAAAAAACATTTTAAAAGAGAAAGTAGTAAAGGACCTAGAGGTAAACTTTAATTGGGATAAAATACAACATGATTTTACAAAAAGGTAAACTGGACCTTGAAAACTGGAGTAATAGAGACTGTTTTTATGCTGTCACTTCATCAACAATCTGACTTGATATCATTATAAAATGCAGCTGTAGAGTTTAACATGTTAAACTCATACATGGAAAGGACATTCAACAGTATTTTTTCCCCTTAAGGTCTATTACAAAATAACTCTGCAGTTCCTCACCTTTACATTGCAAGCCACTGCTTTGCCATCATCACCTTTGTACATCAGTTTCATCCCTCGCAGGGCATTCATGGCCTTGATGAAACCTGCATACTCATGATATTGAACGTAAGCTTCAAAATTCAAATGGCCTCCAAAACTGAAGGTGTGAAAGTTTCTACCAGTCATTTCTTCTCTATATGGGTCCAGCATGGGTATGTCCACATTACGTATTTCCCCAAATTTCTTAAATACTTTTATAAGGACTTCTTCACTTGGTTTTTCTGAGCCAGAGTCCTTCAGTGCAAACCATTTGCAAGGTAACCCCTCTAAGTGAATGGTGTCTGGTCTCTCCCCCGGCAAACTTTCGTTCATATCTTTGGCATCACGAAAAAAGGAGTCCCAGTCATGTCTAGTAGGAAAGTCAATTTTATATTCTGCAGCACGAACTTTTAAAATGTCAGAGAAACCACTAAGTTTTATTGTTTTGCCATCAAGGCATGCTAGAAAGGACTTAACCAAACTCTTGTTTTCAACTTCTCCTTCAAAACGGATGAAATCCATGGTGCTTTTGGAAATCCGTAGTGTGGAAAACTGATGAGTTTGCACCATTCCCTTTAGTCTTTCCATCACTTCCCAGTTGGAAATGGATTTTCCTGGTTGCTTGAGCTGAGGAAGTGCCACGCTGATAGACATTTTTGTAATGGGTTTAAGGTACAAGCCATAGGAAGCACAGAGCTCTACTGCTTCTGATGCATCATGAACTATTGTAGCAGCCGCCATAGCACAAAAAAAGAAGTATAAAACTACTAAGAAAAATGTATACTCAACTAACTTGTAGGCGACACTAACTGAGGAAAGTGGTCCTTATCTGTAAATAATTGACTGGTTCTGAGATTTAAACATTACCAAGTAAAACCATTGATTCTTGGCATGAGAGTCAATTAGGAAATTTAAAATTAACAGCATTGCCATTATAAACTGTTTTCTAACCATCACAATATATAAATTCAGTTCCAAGACTTAAATACTACAGTCATAAGCAGTTCAATTACGTCCACAGGGAAACTGAAAAGCTGATGATACGAATAAGTGGTTTGCTACTCAATGGCTCAACAGAAAGCTAGGCTTCGGGAGGAAGCACTGTGGAAGTTATGTTGTCACCCAGTGTTAACATGAGCAGAATTACTAGAGTGCCAACTAGCGACAGTTATACTGCAGCAGCTTCAACTGGACGACTTTATTCTGGAAGGGAAAAAAAACAGATATCAATTTAAAGGAAAGACTTAGTCTTATAACTCTTGCTCAGACCTGAACAAACTACACAAGGTGTATCATCAATACAGTGAGATCCCCTCTACATGATGGTAAACGTCAACTGCAAATCCCCATTTGATTACTAGGGCCATAAATGGGGGAGGTGAAAGGGCTGGTAGAATTAACAGGCAACAGAACATACTTCCTAAAATCACATTTGTGAGTTTTAGCCACAACATAAGATAATTTTAAAGCTAGAGCTCATACATATAACCATCCACAGATCTGCCATTGATTTACAAACACAACCATTATAATTCATAACATATAAACAGACTTGGGAAAAGTTGCTTTTTATCAGTAAATGTCAAACACCTATTTCACCTTGCACACACATACCTATGAAAAAAATATTTCCATCGATGATAAAACAAATTTTCAGACAGGCAAAAGAAGAAAAATGCTAACTGAAAACCTATTAGGTGTTGGGTCCCCAGTCGGACTAGCACACATGTGACACAGGCCAGGCTAAATAAAATGAAGGGGATTTGGAGCAGTAATATTACATCGGGGACCCTTACGGTTGGCACCACTGACTGGGCCGTTAAAAGTCCGGTCGGCGGCGCCGTGGGGCTAAGGCAGGCTCCTTATTAAAGTTTGTTTCACAGCTAATTACTTTGTATATTTTGACATATGATATTGAAAATGTCTTTTAACCATGATAGAAGCTTTAACTCTTTGAATCAACAGCTACTATGGTCAGTAGATAATTATTGTGTGATTCTCTTCCTCCCCACCCCTGAAAACTGCACAAAGGTGAAATAACCACGGAGCGTTTCCCTCCACAGGACACGCAACAGCCGCGCACAGGCGAGTGATGCGACACTAGGGTGACCAGATGAGAGGAAGAAAATATCGGGACACGGGGGTGTCCGCCGGCGGAGTAAAAAAAACAAAACACCTCACCTCCCCCCGCCCCCACGGGCTACGCAGGGCGGCGCCGGGCGCAGCCTCGGCCAACAACTGCTGCTCCCTTCCCAGCCGCCTGGGGAGCCCCTGCCCGCGCAGCGCCGGGCACCGAGCAGGGGGCTCTCGCCTGACTCTGCCCCCCCCGAGCCCCGACCGCGCGGGCGGCGGGATCCACAGAAGGAGCTGGGGAGGGGAGAGGAGGGTTGCGAATATTTACGGGGTCAAAGGTCACATCTATCCCCCTGCGCTCCCCGCCCCCATACGAGCGGGAGGGTCACGAGCCGCGGCCCCCGCCCCCGGGACTGACTCACCCGCCACATCGGTCTCTGGCCTCTAAACCGCGGCCGCCGCCGGCTACGTCGGACCCAAAAGAAAACAGAACAGCCGCCCTGCTCCCCGGCGTCCCACAAACCCCTGCGGAGGGAACTTCCGCTTCCGGGTTGGCTTAACCAGAGGGAAGGGGGGCGAGCGATTCCAGAGCGTCCTGGAAGTGGCCGGGCTGGGCCGCTCCTCCGAGTCTATGGTTCCAGGGGGAAAAAAGAACCCCACGAGCCCGGCGTGGATTGCGGCCGCGCGCCCCCTGGCGGGCGGAGAGGAAATGGCAGCGCCGCAGGGGCCCGGCGGGCAGGCGGGGCTCGCCCACTGCGGGGTGTTGGGTCCCCAGCGGGGCCAGCACAGGTGTGACCAGGGCCGGCTCCAGGGCTTTTGCCGCCCCAAGCGGCAGGAAAAATAAAAAGTCACAATCGCGATCGGCAGCAGCTCCACTGCGCCGCTTTCTTCTTCGGGGGCAGGTCCTTCCCTCTGAGAAGGAGCGAGAGACCCTCCGCCGAAGAGCCCGACGTGCTGCCCCTTCCCCTTGGCCGCCCCAAGCGCCTGCTTGCTGGGCTGGTGCCTGGAGCCGGCCCTGGGTGTGACACAGGCCTGGCTCAATCCAGTGAAGGGGTTTGGGGGCAGTACTATTACATCAGGGCCCATAGGGTTGCCAGGTGTCTGGTTTTCGACCAGCGCGCCCGGTTGATAAGGGACCCTGGCAGCTCCAGTCAGCACTGCCGACAGGGCCGTTAAAAGTCCAGTCGGCGGCGCAGCGGGGGCCCGAGGCTAAAGCAGACTCCCTGTGGCTCCGGGAAGCAGCAGCATGTCCCCTCTCCAGCTCCTACGCGTAGGGGTAGCCGGGGGCTCCACATGCTGCCCCCACCCCAAGCGCCAGCTTCACAGCTCCCATTGGCCGGGGACCGTGGCCAATGGGAGCTGTGGGGGCGGCGTGGGCAGCACGCAGAGCTGCCTGGCTGCCCCTGAGCCTAGGAACCAGACATGCCGGCTGCTTCCGGAAGCTGCCTGAGATAAGCACCACCCGGCCAGAGCCTGCACCCCGTATCCCCTCCTCCACCCCAATCCTCTGCCCCAGCACTGAGCCCTGTCCTGCACCCTCAACCCCCCATTTGTGGCCCCATCCCAAAGCCTGCACCCCCAGCCCGAGTCCTCACCCACTCCCACACCCCAATTCCCTGCCCCAGCCTGGTGAAAGTGAGTGAGGGTGGGGGAGAGCGAGTGACAGAGGGAGGGGGGATGGAGGGAGAGGGGGTTGGAACTCAGAGAAAGGGCAGGTTAGGGGCGGGGCAAGGATGTTCATGCTTGTGCAATTAAAAAGTTGGCAACATTAGGGCTCCTTGAGCTCTGTGGGGCCTTGCCAATTGCTCAGTCTCTTTATGCCGAGTGCCACCACTGATAACGTGACTCCAGGTGCTAGGGCTTTGACAAACCCCTCTATGTATCACAGAAATTATTGCAAGAATTGCCTGTGCTGTCTCCTGTACTGCCCCCACTCCCAACCTCCAGCAGTGGAGAAGCACCATGATCCTCACCCCCCATAGCATGGGGTGCTGCTAGGGTTGCCAACCCTCCCGGATTGGCTAGGAATCTCCCAGAATGGGCCTCGATCTCCCGGTGGCTATTGAAGCCAATCCGGGAGATTTTAGGCCCCTAAAAATTCAATCAGCAGCGTAGCGGGACTAAGGCAGGCTCCCTACAAGCCCTGGGTCCGCACAGCTCCCAGGAGCGGCCAGCATGTCCCTCTAGCTCCTAAGTGCAGGGACAGCCAGGGGCTCTCTGCGCGCTGCCTCCGCCCCGAGCGCCAGCTCCACAGCTCCCATTGGCCAGGAACCATGGCCAATGAGAGCTGCAGGGGCAGTGCCTGCAGGCAGAGCAGCACACCGAGCCACCTGGCTGCCCCTGAGTCTAGGAGCCAGATATGCTGGGAGCCGCCCAAGGTAACTGCCGCCTAGCTGGAGCCTGCACCCCAAAACACCTCCTGTGCCCCAACTCCCTGCCCCAGCCCTGAGCTCCCTAATGCACCCAAACTCCCTCCCAGAGCCTGCAGCCACTCCAGCATCCCAACCCCTTGCCCCAGCCACGAGCCCCCTCTTGCACCCAAACTCCCTCCCAGAGCCTGCACCCCAAACCCCATCCAGCACCCCAACCCCCTGCTCCAGGCTCAGCCCAGAGCCCCCTCCCACACAAGAGACATAGTCAACTTGGGCCCCAATCCTGCAACATGGAGCGGGTGAGTGGACCCTTGTGCTTATGTGGCACATCATTGATTTCAGAATTCAATAATACAATAGTAGGTATGTTTTCAGACAGGTATGTAATTTTTAAAGCCATGATTCTACAATGTAATTTGCCATGTGCCTTAATAAGGCACATGGCAGCCAGGTGAGAATATTACACACAACAGAAAGGGAAGGGCAGAAGAACAAGCAACAATAAACATAAGTAACAGCTGTATAACAATGTGTCTTATCCATTTAGTGACTTCAATTACATGGCTGTTCTTGTCTTGCTCCTCTAAGCTGAATAGTAAGCCCAGTGTTTTTTTGCAAATGCTAAATAACATGAAATAAAACAAAAAAGAACATAAAAATGACAGAAAATGAAAAACTCACCCTGCGGTGGTGGTGGTCCCTGTGGCTCCTGTCCCAAGGGGCTGTATCCAGGTGTCTGGTCTGAGCATTGTGACCTGGCACCCGAGGTTGCAGTGTCACTCACTCAAATTTGGCTCACCTGCCCCTGTGTCATGATGATGGAGGGTTGGCAGGGCCAAACCTGAGCAGCACTGCAACCCTGAGCACCAGATTGCCACACCTAGAGCAGGGAGATGGCCCCAGACCTATGGGACAGGAGTCACCACTGCAAGGTAAGTGCAGGGTACCACCCGTCCTTTGGGCAGGATCCAACATCCTCCCAGGGCCTTTCACCCCCTTGAGGGAGGAGGGAAGCTAGCGGGGGAGTTGGAGTACAGTGCAGGAGGGAAGGGGTTTCTGGGGCTAATGGGGGCTTGGAGGGTGAGAGTCAGTGGAAGAGGGGGAATAAATAAGCGGGGGGGGGGGGGGGGGCGGTGTCCCTGAGGATATAGAGGGAGAGGTTGAGGTGAGGGTGGAGGGCTGGAGAAGGAAACAGTAGGGGTTGGAAAGATCCATGGTGCCCTATGGTGTTTGTGTCACTGAATGGGGATGGAGAAGCGGGGGTTATTTGAGGGCTGCAGTAATGGGTAAGTGTCAGTGGAGAACATCTA